TTCATACAAATAAATTTTATATATTTTTTAAGTAATTTATAAAGAGAAGACAAACATGTTTGCAAAAAATTGCTTCTAAGTAACTTTTAAAGCTACACACATGTGTGGTTAAGCTTAAGAAACTTATCGTTTATATGTATTAGGGTTAGCCATAAATGTTCCAAGTATGCCACTCTCATTTGTGGCATAACATATATGACGAGTTATTTTTCAACTTGACTTTTAAGAAAATCGAAACCTCTTTCTTAATTACTACCTATCAAGATTTCTTAAATAATTTAAAACTATAAATACAATTGATAGACCAAATCCAAAACTTAAAAAAAGGGGAAGCGAAACCCAAGAAATGAGGGGCTAGTGATTTTGTAACAACCTTGCTTGGCCAATTTTAATTCTAGGCAAGTTTCGTGAATATGTCATATAGCCTTAGATCCATTTTTGGGCGAGGAATTATTTCTTCACAATGCTCATGTTGGTTAATTGAAACATGTTGGATTACAATTTATCAAACAGTATCAATCAATCTCGCAAACTTGAAATTGTCACACAAGTTTTAGGCAAAACTGAAATAAGAAGAATCATTCATTTTTATTTATTCATTGGTGTAATTAATGCCAATTGGTAAGGTGGGATCTCAAATTAAGATGTTTTTAAGTCTACTTATTCGATGGAAATCATAATAAATTATAAATTTTTTTGGCAGCATTAAACAAGAAAAAATTTAAAATTTCATCAACATATTTTTTGTTTTGTTTTATTTAATAGTGTACACCACACATGTTATTCCTATGTGTTTACGGTGCAAGTACTAGGACTTTTGGTAAAGCTTTTTGTAAGATCTTTTAATCATGTAGTATACTTTGGTCCTTTGCAAAACTTTCATTATTGGGTTGGTCATACACTTCACATGTTTATATAAGACCAAACTCATGAGCTTATTATCATGTAAGTCGAAACAAGTTGATATAATTACCTTCTCAATATTTCCACGTCCCCATGTTGTGACATAGGCGCGAAAGTAGGAAAGAGGTGAATGGAGTTTTTCTTACTTTTGGCCCAAGCTTTTAAGGAAGGCAACAATGGAGGAGAGTTTTTCCTAATGGATCAAAGTCTAAGAAATCAATGTTGCGTGGAAGTAGAAGACCAACGGGTTGTGAACTTCTTCTCCTAAAAAATGATCAATGACGGTCTATGAAAAATAAGCAATGGCTAACTCTGTGCCAATAGCCGTGACAAAATAAAGGACGCAAGCAGTATTCAAAATGATTGCGCATAAAACATATTATACATTTTTAAGTCTTATGAAATGTATGGATAAAAATGATATTTAATTAGCTTATATGCTAAAAAAAGCTTTGACAAGTAAGTTTGGACATGGTTCGATTTTAAAGAGAACCAAAAGAAACCCGAATTTTCGAGTATTTAGTAAGTGAAACTGTCGAGTCCAAGTTTAATTAAGAAACCATTCGAGTTCAGTTTCATTTGGTTCCTAGGTTTCAGACGATAATTAAAATTTTTAATATTTACAACGACGTTCATTAATTCAATTAATAATATGTTTAATCTTAGTTCTTACAAAATAACGTAGTTCAATCTTATACATCTTTTGCACATCTCTTTCTTGAGTTTAGTGTGTGTGTGTGTGTGTGTGTGTGTGTGTGTATATATATATATATATATATATTTGATTGTTAAAATCATACGAAGAGGGAAATAGTGAGCTGATAGTAATGAAGAGAGGTGTAGCTTAGCTTCCAATTCGATTTCTCCAGAACTATAGAAACGACACTATGTTGGAATAATAGATTTGGATAAAACTTAGGTCAATTTGATTAAGTTGGGTTTGAGTTGAAAATTAAAAATAGAAAAAACACATTTTGGGTTTATGCGAAATTAATTAGTTAGCAAATTTATTTAAAAAAATGAAATAATTTCACTTATTTAAATTAAATAAATTAAAAATATTATGGAGATTTGGTTCTTCTTTGGTTCTTGGTCTAGAACCGATAATCGAACTGAAATGGTCAGTTCTCTATTCAGATACTTGTGCAGGTATTTAACTTAAGAAGAGTCGTTCAATTCGGTTCAGTTCGATCCAATTCAATTCAAGAGTTTTGTTCAGACCTATTAACAAGTATGCTCTAAGTAGAAACTTGGAAAATATGTTAATAATAAAGCTACTTGTATAAAGTTGAGTTACAAAGTGTGTTGACAAAATTCATGCCATTGATTTCAAATAATTTAAAAATTCATTTTTAAAATAATTGGTGTAGATATAATTTTATCATCCAACTTTATCAACCTCTTCATAAATGTAGCATAACTCATATGTTAAAAGTTTGGAACCTTTTGCTAACTGGGATGAGGATCAAGTGAAGCATCGATTATTGAAAGTGTGATTTTTTAATTTGTTTTATTACTTTGTCACCAGATGACTTAAGCTTTTTTTCTTTCTTTCTTTTTATGACGGGAAACTTGCAGTCGCTAACTTTCGGGTGCGCACTGGGTAAATTCTCGAACTGACGTAATAGCTTGCAAACCATGCCAACTAAATAAACCGCATTAGGCAAGTCCTGTGCGATAGATCGACCGATAA